CCCGCGGGAGTTGGGGCTGCTCCGGGAGCGTCCCCGGAGCTTCGGGCGAGGAACGCGTGCATTGTCCTCGCCTCGGGCTGCCGGCTCCCACCGACCCGCTGGGCATCCCGGGCGTTCCCTGTGACACCGGGACGTGCGCTCGGCTTAGGGAATGGAAGCTGAGCTTTCAGTCGTCTCCTGACTTTAGGGTTTCTGGGAAAAAAAATGGTTTTAAATGTGTCAAGAGCGTCGGCATCTCCGGTTGGGGCTGCTCGGAGCTGATGCCACAGCACCCCGGGCTCTGCAGGAGCCAGCATGGAACCTCCCGCTAACATTCCCCTTTTCCTCCTCTGTCACCCTTTTCCTTCCCTGCTCCCCCTTTTCCATCTCTGCTCCCGGTCTCCCACTCCTGCCTGCCAGCTGTCCCCCGCTCAGACACAGACTGACATCCTGAGTTCCCCTGAAGCATCACCCTCGCCCAAAAAACGCTGTTTGCAGTCAATATTATCCGTTCCATTTCCAAGTACAGCGTGTGGAACATTCCCCAGAGCACGAACCCGCATCCCAGATTCCTCAGGGACTCGAGCAGGAACCGAAGGGGGCTCAGGGAAAGCGGAACTGGGCCCTGGATGGATCCAGGATGGATGGAAACGTGTTGTGCTCAGGACTTGGAGGTCAGAGAAAGGGATTTAAATAACCCAGGGAAGTTTCATTTTGCTTGGTGGCATCTCCTCGTCACGGCTCCAGCCGTGTCGGGCTGGCAGTCCCCGTTTCCAGAGTGACATGTGAGAGTCTCGGGGAGAATCTGACGTTCAGTGTGATCTGAGCCGTGGAGATTGGAGTTGAAACAAGGATAGAGGAAGAGAAAGGCAGTTTTGGGTTATGCTGGAGGCTCGTGGCAGCCGAGGAGATGCTGCCGGCGGCCGTGGGTGCTCCTGGGAGATCTCCTGGAGGAGCTCTCAGCTCGGCAGGGGTGCTGCTTCCAGAGCTGGGGTTGTGCCACATGGGAATCCAGGCTTTGGGCTTTGGGCACAGGGCCCTTGGCATCACCTGGAGCACCTGGTGTCCAAGGGAGCAGGACATGGCCTGGAATTTTGGAAGCCGGTCTCTCTGCCTGGTTTTGGGGGACTCTCTTCACTCCTGGCCCCCACTGAGGTGTTGCTTTACACATTGGATGGGCACTTCCAGTTAAGAATAGGAAAATCTGGTGATGGGATATTTTTCCTGTCCTTTACCCTCCCACAGGGAAGTTTTCCCTCCTAACAGGCTCTACAAGCAGAAGTGGAACAGAAAGTCCCACCAGCAGGGATTAGCTTCAGGTAACACCGTAGCTCTGATTCAAAAACAATCAGGAATTCTGTCAGTGAGATTTGTAATCAGTGTCCCAAAGGAGTTTAAATCTTTTGTAGATCTTGTATGCATTAAAGACTGAGCACCAGCTTCTTGCCCAAGCCCACAACACCTCTGGAAATGATATCCTTGCTTTCCTTCTGTGCCAGGAGAGACGCAGCTCCCTGGGATTTGAACTCATTACTCGACTTTTCATTATGTTGCATTTAATTTTTGGGTCCGATCCATTGCTCAATCTAATTTAGTAAGGGAATAAGGTTTGGAGGAGCTTTTGGATGTGTGTTTTTTCTGTCCATGCTGTGTGGTGGGAAGCAGGGAGGGTCTCTGCTGCTGAGTGCTGTGTGTGTGTGTCCTCAAGGACAGCTCCCAGCTCCAGCCTGTCCGCGTGGGAAGCTGGCAGTGCCCTCTTTGCTGGGGGAAATGTTGTGCTGGAGGGCACAGGTGGAGTCCTGTGGTACCAGGAACACACAGGGGTGTGCTGGAAATCAGGGGGATGCTGTTTAGAAACCCCCAGAGTGAGTGGGATCGCTGCTGTCCCCGAGTGACTCCTGATGCAGGAGATTCCCAGCTGGTGGGATGGGCTCCGAATCCGGGGGCTCAGCCAAGGCTGGGAGCAAAGCTGGCTCTGGAGGGGTCAAGTGTGGTTTTTGAGCAAGGAATGGGTGCACAAAAGTGTTCCTCTGACGTGGCAGGTGCTGCTCAATTAGAGCCAAGAAGCCCCTTAAGGGACAGGAGTCAATTATAAGACACTAATTAGGGCAGCTGGAAACATGTGCTTGTGAATTCAACACCACGGCATCAGAACTCCTCTTTTTGTTTTCTGGGGTGTTTTGTGTTCCCAGCCCTTGTGATCCTGCACAGGATTTGGTGTTTTTCCTTGGAGTTCTGGCAGTATCAATTTATTCCCTGCGGCTTCTAATGAGATTTATTTCACTGACAAAAGTTGTGACCTGTGCAGAACAGCAGAGGTTGTGTCAGAGCATCCGTCGCTTCTTGGGATGCTGGGGTGGAAGTTCAGCTTCCCTTCCTCCTCTTCCTCCTCCTTTTTCTCCTTCTCCTCCTCTCCAGGTGTATCCCAGAGGAATATTTACACATTTTGCCTTTTATTGACCCAACTGCAACCCTTGTGCAGGTGAGATTGAAACATGCAGGGTCTCACTTTGGAATGTTCTCCCTCACACCTCAGGGTCTGGAGCCCCAGGAACAGCTGAGGGAGCTGGGAAGGGGCTGGAGAATTCCTGAGGGAGCTGGGAAGGGGCTGGAGAATTCCTGAGGGAGCTGGGAAGGGGCTGGAGAATTCCTGAGGGAGCTGGGAAGGGGCTGGAGAATTCCTGAGGGAGCTGGGAAGGGGCTGAGGCTGGAGCAAAGGAGGATCCCGAGGGATCTTTTCCCTCTCTGGAATTCCC